CTGGAAATTGAGACTCATCATCAACCAAGTATCCTGCTTTGAACAACTGAATCATTAAAATTTGAGCATTGGTTAGCTACTAAGTTTTCTTTTATTTTTTTTTGCACCAAGGGTGATATTTATTAATCAAAAGCATAAGGATGATAAACACACAATTTGAGATAAAGTTACGCTGGGTGGGATGCATTTGAAGTCAGGGGAGAAGCAAGCGTGTAGCTTTGTGTTGTTTGGTTAACGGCAGTGGTACTTGGTAGTAGAATTCTTGTTCTCCTTTTGTGGGATACTTTCCATTCTTGGCCAGTGTGTCTCAGTGCAGCCACTGCTTGTCTGCCAGGGAAGCCCTGCGTGTTGCTGTGATGCTGAACAAATGTTAATGGATTTCCAAACAAAGAACCAGTAGAAAGAAGACCTAGTGATCTACTCGCAAACAATCGGCCAGTGAAAACCCTGTGGACCACAGCAGTCTGATTGTGTGTTTGAGTCCCGCGAATTGGACCTGACTGGACAACAGCTAATGGTTATTTGGTGGTTTTCACAGATTTTTTTGTTTTATAAGGTAGTGTTACACATTACCACATATCACATTCAACCTAGTAAGTAATTCTTGAAATGACCAGAGAGGGGGATGCAATCGGTAAAATACAGAATGAGTAAATTGTACAGGGTTGCAGGTCACAAACCTGTAACTGCCAACTAACTAATTAGCAAGAAGAGAGTGTGGGGGAAACCCTCTCATTAAAAAGACTTGGCAGACACATCAAATAAAGTGGATGTGTGCATCTTGTTGTGACCTTGAGATGAACAAACCATAAAAAGATAATGTCATGGTCCTCAGCATGGATAGCGGGTTCACGGATGTGTTCAGGATGACAGGTAAGTGGGACTTGGCTTGGGTGCAGTAGAGAGGAAACAACTCGTGCTCCTTGAAGCTGGTGATGTGTTCGTTGGGGGGAAGGCTTGTTTTAGTTCTACTTTGGTCTCTTTAATTTACTAAACATCTTGAAGGTGCCCTTTTGAATCTATATGATCTACCTTCTTTTTATCCTATCATTAAACCTACTTTATAAATAACTTGAGTTTTCATAAATAATATTTCAAGCACACTAGACATTTTTAAAAAAAACCCAAACTTTAAAAAATTTATTAGCTTGAGAACTTAAACTCTTCCATTTTTCCTGTCTATGAGAGAGGGGATTCCCATTTAAAGTTTTTTAAAATGCCATTAGTACTTAAATCAGCGGTTCTCAACCTGTGTGTCGCGACCCCATTGGGGGGGTTGAATGACCTTTTCACCAGGGTCTCCTAAGATCATCAGAAAACACATAGTTCGATGGTCTCCAGGCGAGTCCGTCCACATGTAGATATGCCCACATACGAGTACCCATGGTGAAGACTGTTACCTGTGCTACACCATGCTTCAAGACAAAATTTTTATTTGTATTACAAATACATGTTTCACAATCTAGAATTACGTACTGTTTTTGTGATTAATCACTATGCTTTAATTATGTTCAATTTGTAACAATGAAAATACATCCTGCATATCAGATATTTTCATGGCGAATCATAACAGTAACAAGATTACAGTTATGAAGTACTAATGAAAATTTTATGGTTGGGGTCACTACAACATGAGGAATTCTATTAAAGGGTAGCAGCATTAGGAAGGTTAAAAACCACGGACTTAAATCAATATTCCCCTGGTTTTTGTTCCCCAAACTAAGTATTCTCATCCCTTTTACAAATGATAAGAACATAATTGGAGATTTTAGTGAATTCTGGATGTGGAGCTTGTTTTCCTTTCCCTCCTACATATTATGATAAATTTAAGTTTAATCATTGAATGCTTTTTGGGCACTGCTGCTAGACTCCGAATGAAACAGCCTGTGGAGAAAGCATTCTACTTATTACTGTTTATGTGTGTTTTAGAAGTAGATGAAATATCAACTTTGCTGATTACAAAAAGTTGAATTTTCATGATTTGGCGATCGAATGTTGTAAACAATCTATTAAAACTTCATCTGGGGAGGGGGAAAAAGGAAAATGAGCTGATTCCAGGAACCCAAGAGGAAAGCGAATTTTGAGAACGATGAGGGCAACAAATGTATAAGTGTGCTTTACACAATTGATCTACGTATTGTGATGAATTGTACGAGCCCCAATAAAATGATTTTTAAAAAAGCCAACTTCATCTATTTTCTTGACTCTTACTTAGTATTTAGAATCGAATTACCTAATTCTAAAAGCACAGGTGGGAGATGATCAGGGGATGATGTTTTCATTGTGGGCAGCCAGCTAGAAAAGATGGAAGATGAGCCGAGCTCAGCTTCTTACCTGGTTGGAAGCTGTATTCCGGTGGTGAAGGTGGCATCGCGTGCTTTGGTCCCTCTAATGTGTGGAGCCTTTTGGCTCTTGTAGTGATGGAGGTGAAGCTCAGAGTTAGGACACGGGTGAAATGATCGTTTAAGGTTAGTGGGTAAATAGGAACCTGGGTGCACAAAGGATTTGGGATTGGCTGCTGACTTAAAGGGTGGAGATTTGAACCTGTGAAGCCACTACATGAAAGAAAGGTGTGGTGGGTGTACTGCTTTTGTAAAGACTGATGTTAGTTGCCGATGAGTTGGGGACCCTACATATGCAGAGTAGTAGTAGAATGCTTTGTAGGCTTTCTAAGACCTTTCTGAAGCAGATTGCCAGACTTTTCTTCTGAGGCACATCGGGGTGGGGTTGAAGCACTAACCTTTCAGAATAGGTGGCTGGAATTTAATCATTTGCACCACTAAGGGAAACCTGGAGCACTCTATCATATGGGGGTCAACTTTGTAACATGTCGGTTGGGGGGTATTGGAGTCTACTCAACTGTAATCGATTGCTTGTTTGGGTTAATGAGTGAGTGGGTGGAAGCAATTACGGGGCCAAAAGACTAACTGCATGAAAATACTTGTTTTTCTAAAATGAAACATGAGAGAATCAGATTGTGGAAACTGGACAACTATTCAAAGGAGATACTTATTATGGAGAAACTTCTTGTAGGTACGTGGGTGCTACAGGGGGAGATAGACCCTCAGAGTGGGTTCTCAGAGTCCTTGGGAATACATGACGCATGGATTACTTTGTACAAAAAGATAGTATCCTGGTTAAAGAGTTTCTTGGGATTCCTCCAGTGAAGTGAGTGTTTTTGTAACATGAGCAGCCACCTGCTAGCTTACTTCAACTCTGCACATTTCAATATGGCCTATGGGGAGCGGGGAGGGAGTCCAATAATATATATACTCAAGGAAAAATGAGCTTGATCAGGACAAGACCTTGGTTTCTTTATCGCTGTGCCAAATAAATCTTTCTGTGTCTGCTGCTTCATTCAGACAGATTAGTTTTTGCATATGTGCAGCAGATAATCCTTACCTCCTTGATGACCCCGGGGTCAGTATTTGCACAGTGAGCAACTTTCGGCTACCCGAACAAGTTTTGAAATCTGTTAGAAATTGGCTAAACGCTTTATTGAAAATATCAAGCTCAACAGAGAGGTAGGGCCCACCTTCGTAGCTTCCACAGTGGTGAGCACATGAGTTATTTCGAAGTAAATCCCAGACTAACATTTAATCTGAATGTTCCCAGACTGGGTAGTGTTTTGAACCCCCCACCCCCCACCCCACCCCCGCTTTCTTTTTGGTCCCCTGGTTGTGCACAGTTCTGCACTCATAAGGGAAACGTGTTTCTCCCTTCCTCCCGATGTTGTGAATCCAAACAGGATGTACTTGAGCTTGATGAGTCTACATACACAGTTTTAAAAATATTTTATTTATTTTCATACACAGTTTTAAGAGTTCTTTCAGGTGGTAGGTGATATCTGTGGCATTTATTCTCATGCTTTGAGAGGAAAGGAAGAGACAAAGGACTAAGCTATGAATCTGCTCCAAACTGGTGTTTTTTAAAAAAAACGTGATTGACCTGGAGAAGGAAATTCTCTATAGGGAAATACCTAATTCTAAAAATGAAGTAATTTAATTTTTTCACTAGTCCTTTTTTTTTTTTTTTTTTGTAAATAGCTAGATGGCCATACATTCTCTCAAGGGTGAGTTTTTGGTTGTGTGTAGCATTGGTAGTACAGTCTAGCATAATAAATACACTGTGTTCTCTCTCTCCTTTAAGCTGCTGACAGTGTTGGGGGAAGGGAGGGGGAAGGGGTTGAGTGTGAGTGAGGGTGTGTGTGTGTGTGTGTTGAACTAAGGAAGGGATTTTTATCACTTCCTGCATCACAGACTACTTTGGCTGTCTGAATTCTTTTTAGTATGTTTTTAAAAATGCATAACAACGCATAGGGTTAGAAAGGAAACCAACCATTTTGAAACATTTTAGCAAAATGGTAAAGCTTGTAAAGTTTGTCATATGGTAATATATGCTTCTTAGATAATAACTAATTTCTAGTTTACATGATTAAATTTCTGTAGATTTCAAGATCTGCAACAACTTAATGTGATATAAAATCTCTGATTCATAATGATAGCAAAATTACAAGTATTGTTAAGTCCACTATGACTTATTGCCTGTACTTACAATGGGAGGAAATGCTAAAACTCAGTTAGGGAGTCATAAAAATAAAGATGTGACTTTTCCCTCCTCCCCTAAAGCCCCTGGATTTTCTAAAGTTTAGTCATGACCTTTGGGCTGCAATTTCAGACTAAGACCCTATGAACAATGAAGTTTTTCTGTCTGCCCTAAGATGCTTTATTTTAGGCTAATGGGCTTAAATTTTAAATGCAGAAAGCTCTGACAGAAAGCTTTCTCTGACAAAGCTTTTCAAATGTCACAGTTACCAGTTGCAGTGGCGATCAAAATCAGAGCACAATAATCCAATAATGCTGCCCTTCCGAGTGTTCTGCGTATTTTTCAACATTTGATACCGAATGTACTAAATAATGTCTAAATGTTCAAGTTGGCAGATTTTGTCTTTTGGTTTTAAACATTAAATGAAAGCTTAAACCATTTTAATTCTTCTGCAGGATTCGGAAGCTTCAGATACGAAACATCCCGCCTCACTTGCAGTGGGAGGTAAGAATTTCTGTGTTTAATATTAAGGTCTTGGTATCTTAGTCTGCTGCTGTTGAGTTTTCCAAAGACTCTTTCTTCTCTCAACTCTTGGTTGGGCAGAATCTAACCACCCTTTTTCTTAATGGTCTGTGTCCTGGTATGGGGGGGTTTCCTTTGAAAGGTCCACTTTTTGAGGTGTATTTAAAAGTCGTTGTTGAAATAGTTTCTTACTGGATAATCTCCATTCAGCCTCACCCTGGTCGGATCTCATTAATAATGAGATCTTTCTGATAACCTGCTACTTGTAAATGCTCCCTTAAGTGCCCATCACTTGAGTGTGATTTTAACACACTGTACTGCTTCCTTTGGCTCCATGATGGCCCTACTTGTGATTGTGTATCAACACAACTGTTTTCACACAGTTGGCTAGCATGTGTCAGCACTTCTAAGAGCACAGTAATGAGGTCAAGAATTTGAGACCCCAGTCGTGGAAGAGATTAGGACATATTGACCCTCAAGTGATGGAACCCGGAGGTTGCTCAGGCTTTACCTTGAGTAAATAGTTCACAAAGCAATTTTGCCTGCCCTCTCCAGTGACTGTTCACCACATCGCCATCACCATGGGGTGGCTGGACTGCCCCGCCTCCTGCCCAGCCCCCACAGCCCTGGTAAGATGTAGTCCCCGTACTTTTGCTTATTCTGAATACTTCACATAGGAAACTCCGAGTGGGCATCACAACATTTGTGGGAAAATGGAACAAAGAGATTATGGAATTTTCCCGCAAGCTTCTAGAAGCCCCTCATTGTACAATAGTAACTTTTCTGTATTTAGCATCTAAAATCCAGAGTAACTATATTCGGATAACTTCACCTTCTAAAATACTCGACAAATCATTAAACCAGAACGCTCATCAAAATGCACAATATGGGGAGAGTAGCTCTGAAACCTGATACTTCAAGGGCACTGGGTGGGTAAGGAATCATTTGTGTTCATTACTTCATGAAGCATTCATTTTCAGAACAGTGTTACACAACTTAATCTTTGTAGGAAGGAGTTGCTTTGCGGAATATTTTTCAAGTTACATAAGGTATTTTAAAAATTGACTTTTACATATGAATATAGTGACAAACTAGTTATATGCACTTAACATTTGTTTAGGGAATTCAGTAGATAGGGACAAGCTCCCCAGATCAGTTTTCTGGTACCAGAAAAATTATTTGTTACTTTTATTTTTTAGGGTGGACCACATTAAATGCGGTTTGTTGCTTGGGAACTCCATTCAGTATAATGTAGCTTTGAATGAGACAGTCCAGTCAACATTAGCAGCTAACTTCTGAGTAAGTGAGGTACTGCACAGGAGTACCGGCAGAGGTGCTATAGGTTAGTGACAGTTTTCTTGAAATTCGTTCATTGTACTGCTTCCTGATTTAGATTGCAGTTCCTATTGGTGGCCTCTCAAGTTTTTACTTTGTTGCATTTTTTTCTCCTAATGAGTAAATTTGGCTTAATTCATAAGACTAAAGATTTGCCACATCTAACATTTTCTTTCTTTCTTCCCTTAATTTCCATTTGGGTAAAAGATTAAGGAGGAAATTGGGTTTCCATTTAACAATTCACCAGTGTTTTGCTTTGTGACATTGATGATCATGGTCCCAATGTAAAGACCCTCTTCTCCCTTGTGCAAACTTTCCATTTGTTCTTCTCTCTCCCCTCTTGCCTTCTGAGCTTTATTCCTGGGCTTGTGCTGCCCTTCGGATCTCATGTGATTGAGTGTTATAAGGAGCATGTGCCCTCCTGGTGTTAACTGTTCACCAGGCTTGAAAGTTGAACACCACAGCGGTAAATTCAGTTCCAATGTCTAAGGGTCTCAGTCTTTGATTCTACCAGTTCCTCTCAGACTTGTAGGCCTGTTTTTACACTTTTCCTGTGATTTTGAATTTTGTTCAACATTTTTCTCCTACTCTAGGCTAGACCCGCTGTTGTGATTCCTCTCAGAGCAGCTTGGCAGTAGCAGCTGGATCCTGTGATCCGTCCATTAGTCCTAGGGACTAATTGCACCTCCTGCCTTCCATTCTCTCCACAATTCTTTGTTTCGAATGGGGAGAGAACAATAGTTGTAAATTATTTTTAAAATTTCTTTGAAGCTATGTAGGTTTACAGAGCACATCATCACTTTCACAGTCCATAATTCATGTGCATTTTGTGTAGTCCCTTTCGTTGTAATGCCTGAATTTTCTCCCGGGATTTTGTTAACATTCTTCTTTCTCTCTTCATCCTTCTGAACTGTTGCTGGGTAAATGGAATGGTTGGTTATTTTAAGGGACACATGCTACCCAGTTAGTGTTATTTATCCCCATACAGACTTGTCTATTGTGTGGTGGAACATTGAGTCACAGGGTGGTTTGAGTTTTGTTCCAGACTCGAAGGGTGACACCGTTGTCTTGGAGGTTCCATCAGTCTCTGACCAGTCAGTCTAGACATTTTTATGGTTTTTGAGTTCTCCACATTTTTCTCCCACTCAGTCGAGGACCGTTCTCATTCCTCTCTTTCATCTAGTTCTTCTGGTCTCAGGGCCATGGAGACTAATTGGTGTGGTTCATTGGATGATTATTTCCCAGCAACTTCTCATTTTTTATTTTTCTTTACTCCAGACAGAAGTCACACCTTAGAAGTTGACTTTTTATGAGCTTTTAAGGCTCCAATCACTTCTCACCAAAACAAGAGGTAGAAAAGTCTTTGTGGACTATTACATACCAATTGACCTTGGTGTTCCCCTAGATCAGGGGTCCTCAAACTTTTTTAACAGAGGGCCAGTTGGAGGGCCGGACTATAGTTTAAAAAAAAACTATGAACAAATTCCTATGCACACTGCACATATCTTATTTTGAAGTAAAAAAACAAACAGGGCAAAAACACCCGGCGGGCCCGATAAATGTCCTCAGCAGGCTGCATTTGAGGACCCCTGCCCTAGATCATGGTCCTTTGCACTGTGCCCCCCCCTGCCCACAAGGTTTTTGGCTACATTAAATAAGTTTTCATAACTTTGCTCCCTGTGTAATCTTTTCTACTTGTGGATGTATTTGTAATACATGCTAAATATATATGTAGAAATTCCTTCTGTCAAATCTATGTGTATTTGTGGTGGTGTCTCTTCAGCTTAAGAGTCTTTGTATCCATTTGAAGATTGTTCTTACTCTTATGGCAGTGTTGTTTATATAATGGTATTTACCTGTGTTGCCTTACCTCCCAATGTCCCTTTACCTCCATCACTTTGCTCTGACATATATCGCCTTGCCCATAACCCAAGGGATGTTAACTTAATTTTGTTGGACAATCCCCTTAGTCCTCTGACATACTGAATTGATATTATTGCCTTCACTTTCAAATAGGACAATGTGGGCAAACAGATTCACTGAATCGAGTTTATACCGAATTGTAAGGATACTGGAAATTCGACTGACGACTTCATGACTCAATTATGGAGGGCTTATGAATAAGTGGGAGTGGATGAGATGTTGGCATGTTCCCTTTCCTTGAAGACTGACTAGATACTGTTTGTATTTTCTCTTTGAAAGGGGCCACTTTGCTTTACTGGGTTTTCAATGTGTACATCGTGAATACTCTGGTCTCTCCTGTCAAACCTCTTCACGGCAGCCCTTTCACATTTGTAGTTCAGGGTTCCTTTCTTGATGGGAGGGAGGGATCAGACGTTGAATCTACTTCCCACTCTACTAGAGTCATGAAAAGTGAAGCAGCCAGCCCTCGTGTCCCTCTTGGTTTAGTATAAGGTCCATAACCACTTACGGTGTGCCCGTGTCTGAAAGATAGAGGTCTGGCTGGATTCGATTTCGGCGGAGTTTTGAGTTTATAAGATATATAGACCTGAAGAGATAGCCAGAAAAGACCGAACATGGGACATTTCATGGGCCAGATGAGCATGGTTTCACTAAGAAGCAGTTGTGGTTATAACAAGATCTATGAAGATAACAAAGCAAGTGTGTTCCTTTGGTAAGTTATTTGTGAACAGTGTAAATGGTTCTTGGAAGAAACATGAAGTATCTTATAATTTTATTCTATTTATTTGATATGTGAACAGGTTTTCAAAAATGATCTGGTCCACATTTTCCTCAGTTCTGACTTAGGGGTGGTATAGGCTCCCATTTTCTACTCCTGCCTTTCTAGTCTTCCCCCTAGTGCCTCATATTAGCAGAATATGGGTAAGGAACAGCGGTCCACTGGGTAAGAGTGTGGTAACTCGTTACAACAAGCCAAAAGATGGATTTGGAACTGAGTGCTTAATTGAGGCACCATCAGACTGTGACCTGATTGACAGGTTGAGTACCACCCCTACACTTTTATCTCGATTTGCCGCTCTCAAAAATGACCCTCCTACTATCTACCTGGCATTCTCATTTACTGCCAGAGTCAATGCTGACTCGTGGCGACCCCTGGTGGGGTTCCAAGACTATTCACTGTTAATGAGAGTAGAAAGCCCAACCTTTCTCTTGAAGAACTGCTGGTAATTTTGAACTGCTGACCATGTTGTTCACAGCCCAACACCTAATCATGGTTTGTCACCACTATAGATAATCTTCCTTTGCTTTATTTGAGGATACTTTTGAAATACTGTTATCTTTCAAACTGTAAGGAATGCTTTGTTAGGTTGCTTTTTTTAGCTGTTAGGAGTTGTAGTCTCAGGTAAATGGGTTTTTCATGTACTCATGGGTTCCTGAATTTATTTAGGCCCCCCCCCCCAAACAAAACAAAACAGAAAAACAAAAAACGTTTGTGCTATACTCCATAATCCAGGATAAAGGGGGCGGGGAGGGGGTCCTGCCTTACAGCCCCTGTGGATGGTTCCAGCCACCTCCACCCCCAACCCAATATCACCCACGTGGGGGACACTCTGATGCACACGAATGTACAGGACCTTCAAGAACTATGCAGGATGTGGGCCATATCTTTATTATAGGGATGTCCCAGACATGTCAAGATGTGTGGCATCCCTGGTCTCTGCCAG